ACCCTTCATCAGAAATGACGAAGGGTCTAGGCCCGAAACGTCAGCCTTCCTGCTCCTATGATGCTGCTTGGCCTGCTGTGTTCATCCAGCTCTACACCTTGTCTCAGATTTTCCAGGATCTGCAGTTCCTACTATCTCTGTTAAAGTGCAGTACCTGGACCAACCCATCCTGGTGAGGAACGTGACAAGTTCTGCCCACAGCAGATGATGATCCAAGCATGGAGGATGTCGGCATGCGCCCCTCGGAAATCTCAAGGTGGTTGATTTTGGGCACTAGCTCCAGACCCCTCGAGTCAGTCAAGATGGAGATTTTGCCACCAAATTGAAGGACAGGATTGGCTCACTCTACTTACCCATCAATGCTGGTTACAAACACCGTTCCTCACTCTGTGGGGGTGTGGGTGGGAGGGTAAATTGAAATGACGTCCACCACCCCCCCCCACTGAGAAAAATGCACTCCCCCCTCCTCAATGGACCTGAGTGAGAAGGGAGGACAATTCTTCAAAGCAGCTCCTTTACTGTGGTCCATCCCCGTGGGGTGTTCATATTCCATAAGAATGTTTTAAAATTGCAAGACTTAAAATGATCTAACACTTTTTGAACTGCTAAAAAATGCATCGTTACCACAAAAAAAGCTCAAAAATACGTCTGACTCTTCAAAGCATCATTTACATATTGTATGTTATTTGCATACGTAACTTCGTAAAACAAATTCATCGGCCAAGTCCGAGGAAATTTGACCTTGTCCAGAGCACAGAAAAGCAGAAGTAGGGCAAAGTGCAGTCTGAAATGTTCTCGTCTTGTGTGGGTTTGCTGGTGGGGACTCTGACTTGTGATGTGGAAAGTGAATGTCACACAGAGTGGGGTCTACGGTAACTTTGTTTCTATAATATAGCCTTCTTTCCATAAAAAAGAAAACAACAGAACCCTCAAAAGAGTTAATTGTTCACTGACGCAGTGACACTCTCGTATTAAAAGCAAAAATTTAGTTTTGAATTTGACACAATTTGCATATGTTTCTGAAGTAATTAGGATTAATCAACATGTTCACGAACGTTATGTTAACTATGTTTTATTGTCGAGCTATAATGAATGCCTGTGTCCCTTTAGATTTGTTTTTATATTGATTAAAACGCCCTGGTTTTATATATCCTTTGATTCAAAGTTAATTAGAACTGGCAAAATTGATAGTTGAGCTAAATTACATTGATCAGAATTCGTCATCACTTTTGATTACTCCTCGTGTAGGAGATATTTTGTTAACATTGACAGTTTAATAGGACTTGCATATCTTTTGAATGGAGTTTTTTGTGGACTTATAATTACATTTTGTGTAAAGAAAAATCACTGCCTAGCATTTGTAGATTAGTAATGAAGAACCTGTGCTGTCCTGTTTTGTCCTGACTTGCCTGGTTTGAATAGATATAATAGATGTTCCCTATTTCTGTTTTGTGCGTTACTACACAGGGCCCCACGTACGATGTCTTTTAAAAACCTTCCTATTAATCTTCGATTTCACACATACATGGCTGTATCTAGCTCTAGACACTGAATTTCTTACAACCTAATACTGGACTTACTAATTACTGACTCCAAACACTTGAAGCTGTCAGACTATGTGCACAGTACTCATTACTGCACGGATGCTCCAAGACAAATGATGTCACGTGAAAAAGGAGTTGTAAAGCTTAACACAGTATGTTGTTTGTAAATGGTGAAATGTGCTAAAAATGAAGGACGATATTCAACGTGTCTGTGGTAGAACGTGACTGGCAGATTGTAAAGATGGTCCAGACTTCATTCACATAATAAATCTGGGGCCTGTATGAACATAGTGTAACAATTGAGGATTGCTGAGAGAAGACACATTTTGTCAATGTTTTTGTCTTGCACTCATCAGCAATACTTAAGTCCTGTATTTATAACGAGTGTGAAAAAGCATTTAAAAATCCATGACAGCACTGTAAGCGTTCAGACAATGAGTATTTACTATGGAAAGAATAGTGAGAATATTTTAAACTAAACCCTCTTCATTTTTAAATTTTAATTGAGGAATAGTAACGAATGTTTCTTATCCTTAACACAAGCCCTGAGCATTGATTGAGTAACATTTTTTTTACAATGTGTGATTTTGCTCGTGATTATTTAAACAGCAAAGCATTTTGTAATTCTATTTACTTTTAAACATCAACAGCTCTGAAACGGTCTTTTGAGATCGATGATGTGGATGATGGATCATCATTATCACCGACTTCTCCGCTGAACTCGCCTTTCACTCCTGCTCCAGGGTCTGTGTTGTCATCCAAAGCCACTGAAAGCTTTGTCACCAGTACACCCTCTCCACCTTCTTATCACCTGAGGATCGGGAGCAGTTCAGGTTCAATACCGGCTGCTGGTTCATCTCAGTACAGGAAAGTTACTTCAAGCCAATCCTTTAATCAAGGGTCCAAACCACTTCCCAGATCTAATGGAAGTACAGCTCTAGCTTATGTCTCCTCCTTCCAAAACAGAACAAATCCAAATGGCTTCCCTCACTCTTCCAGACTGGATATTGACATTGACCGTATGCATGGTTCAACATCTAGCCTTGTGTATCCATCTCCTTCAAAGACGAACTCTTTGTCAAGTCCACTTCAAAGTTCATTAAGACGCAATGATTCAGGGACTAAAGCAAACCATGTGTCCTCGCCAGTTTTGAAGAAATATTCTTCACAAGGCAACGTGTTCCCTTCAGTAGTCCAACCTTCTGCAATCTCTACCAATGTAGGCACAGCCAGTCATGGTTCCATGCCAGCTCTTGATCTTCACATTGCTGATGAAGACCTAAACGTGGAGAACAAACCAGCGTTCAATCCATTGCTCAAGTCAAATGCAGCTCTGCATTCCATGCCAATGTCTCTCGCACAATACAGTGTCCAAAGCCAAGTTCCAAAGACAAGAATGGGACCGAAAGAGGCACGCATCACTTTGGCTGACACACTCTCCGGTTTACGATTCAATTCTGTAACAAATCAGCAAGAACTAAGGTCTGTACCTAATGATTCATTTTCCATTAATCTTGGTGACACCATGAATACAGCTCTGGGCAATCCGATTCCAGCTGATGACCCTACCGCAAGACCGCAAACAAGCCAGAGTGTAACAAGTGTCAGCTCATCCCCGACTCCCTTGACAAGATCGAAACAGGCTGTCTCATTGGTTTCTGTGTGGAGTAACGTACAACAATCTGGAGAATTCGCTCCCCCTGCTCCGAATGCAGAGTCCAGCTATCAATCTGTGCATGACTTGCCTCCAGTCAGGTTGGTGACCCAGCTGCAACAAGTTCCCCGTCACATCTCTGTGTCAGGGTTCGAAACAAAGCTAGTGCAGGATTCCAGACCGCTTGAGGATCCAGTGTTGTCTCCACAGCCAAAGGAAAGTCCTCGATCTGAGATGAAGACACATCCTTCCTTCTTAAAATCAACTAATGTGGGGATAAACTATCTTAATCATGACTTTCAACCAACAGTGAGTCTCTACCATGATGGAAAAGTGGAGAAGGGAATGCAGGATCTAAGTTTTGAAAGAGAAGTAAACATGCAGCTCAAGAAGCAAGGTAAGACCTAGCTTTTCAGCAATTTATAAAGCGTTGGGATCCTATTGTTTTATATTGAAAGCGTAAAATACGTCACTGATTTCACATACAAATAATTGTTGTTTCATATTTCAGGACTTGTCTTTTCCAAAAATCAATTCAGTTGTAATTAGTGAAGATTGTAAGTTAAGGTTAACAGTTTTCAAAATGGTCAACCACCATATGCAAATTGTCTTAAATTGCCCTCAGTGTATGGAAGGAGATTAGAGCAGCCTTGTATCAAATATCACACTGATCCTTGCTCTAATGACTGACACTGGGACCAGAAAAGCTTTGCAAGGAGGCAGAAAAAAAAGGGAAATTTGGCTGGTGAATTATTGAGAGGAATACTCGTGGGAGATTGATAAGAGTTTAGGTATGAAAAGCATCAGAGTATGCAGAATATTGTGGTAGGAATGTGGTATTGAGATAGAGGCAGCCATGTTCATATCAAATGTTGAATGGCCTACCTCTGCTTTTAGTTTCTAAGGGAGCAAATCCTTGTGCCTAGTACTTCAAGCTTTCATTTGCAAATTTTTGAGTGGCTTTTTTTTTTTGTCTTTTTATCTTAAAGAATTTGATTAGATTCCACAAACCATAGAAACACTAATGCAGGGTAATAATTTAGCCCATTAGGAAGATGGATAAAGGGGAACTAACAGAGGTGGTGTACTTGGATTTCAAGAAGGTGTTTGGTTACGTTTCATGTCAGAGGTTACTGCATAAGAAAAGAGCACAGGATGTCGAGATTAACATATTAGCATTGATAAATGATTGGTTAGCAGACAGAGGAGGGGAGGTGATGGCCTAGCAGTATTATTGCTAAACTATTATTCCACAAATCCAGGCAATAGTCAAGGTTTGAATCCTGCCATGGCAGATCATGGACTTTGAATTCAATAAGAATCAGGAATCGGTCGCCTAATAATGACGAAGAAACTGAGGAAAAACCCCTCTGGTTCACGAATATCCTTTAGGGAAAGAAATCTGCTGGCCTTATCTGGTTTGGCCAACATGTTTTAGAACTTAGATTTAGATTTAGGTTTTATTGTCACGTGTATTCAAGTATGGGATACAAGAGTACAGTGAAAAGTGTACAATATTGCCAGACACAGCTCCATCTTAGGTACAAAGTGCCTATTGTGGTTTACTCTTAACTGCTTTCTGGCCAATTAGGGATGGGCATTAAATGCTGGCCTGACTAAGAGGCCACATTCCTGTGAGTGAGTGAGTGAATGAAAAGGAAATGGAGAATAGGGATAAATAGGTCTTTTCAAGTTTGGCAAGCTGTAACTAGAGGAGTGCCAAGGGGATCAGTACTGATCCCCAAACTATTTACAATCTATATCCATGACTTAGGCAAAGAGACCGAATATATTGTTAAACTTGCGGTTTGTACAAAAATTAGTAAGAAATTAAGTTGTGAAGATAGCCTAAGATGTCTGCAGAGGCATTTAAATATATTTAAATGAGTGGGCAAAAATTAGCAGCTGAAGTTTAATGTGGAAAGCTGACTATTGTTGCAGGAGGAATAGAAAGGTAACATATTATTTCAATGGGGACAGAATACTGAACTCTGAGGGACAAAGGGATCTGGGTCTTCATACACAAATCACCTGAAAATAGTACGCAGGGGCAGCATGTGATTAAGATGGCAACTGGAATAGTTTATTACAAGAGTAATGAAATATAAAACTAGGGATATTTAGCTACGTTAACAGAGCATTAGTAAGGTGACATCTTGGGGTACAATGTGCAATTTTGGTCTCGCATTTACATCCTTTCTTAAATAACATTCAAAGTACTTCACAGGGAATGTTCACTCGACTGATATTGGAGATGGGCATTTAACCCATGAGGAAATGTCAGACATTTCCGTGGCCTTGTTTCATTGGCGTTTAGAAGATTAAGAGGTGATCTTATTTAGTCATGTAATATGTTTTAGGTTGGACGCTGGGAGGATGTTTCTTTTGTGAGACACTGGAACTAGAGGGGGGCTTAAAAATAAGAGGTTTCCCTTTTTAATGAGGGTCATTTTCTTTCTTGTTGTTATGTGTAACTCACTTCCCCAGAAAGCAGTGGAGGCTGGGTAATTGAGTTCATTTGACACAGAGAAAAGTAGATTTTCATAAGAAAAGGAAGTTAAGGGTTATGAAGTGCTGAGAGAAAAATGGAATTGGGGGCCACGACCAGGCCAGCCATGATCTTATCGAATGTTGGAGCAGATGGTTAGAAGCCTTTTTTTCAATCATATAATCTGGGAAAGGCCCTTTGGCCCATCGAGTCTATACTGCCAAAATGCACTATTACCTACACTAGGCCAATAGTGTACTTGGCCAATAGCCTTGAATGTGATATGTCAAATGTTCATCGAAGCACTCTTTAAAGGCTGTGAGGTTTCCTGCCTCAAGTACCCTCCCAGGTAGTGCATTCCAGATCCTCACCAACCCCTGGGTGAAAAGATTTCTTCCCCCGAAACCTCTTGAAATCTGGCAGAGTTTGAATCAGCAGGTTCTTTGAGCAGAAAATGCTTCGGTGCAATGTATACTGAGGCTATTACGAGAAGAGAATGGATGAATGTTTGTAAATGCAGGATTTTGAAAGGTTGGGGGACATAGACAGCGGGAAATGAGATTAATTAGATTCAGTTGAAAGAGCACAAGCTCAATAGAATGGATGGCCTATTTTGCAATGATTCTATGATTTAAGGAAACAGTTCTTTAAAGGGTGTTGCTATGCTGACATGATTGCCAATTCCTGTTGATTTTGAAGATACTTAACTCAATATATCACTTTTTAAAGTTTCATAATTTTACAAATGTTTTGAATTATTTAACATTTTATCATTTTCACCTTTTCATACAAAACTAATTGCATTCTTTGTGCAATAATTTGATGAACCAGTTAGCGATTATACAGTTAATATACTCCATGGTGTTCGACATAAATGAAAAGGCTTTCTTAATTTGCGACAAGATGCGTTGTCTGAAACTGTGGATGGAATTAATGTTTTGATTAAAAATGAAGTTTCAGTTTTTCTAATGCATAATTTTATTCTGGCATTGATTAAATTATTTTCGCAACTAAAGAGCCATTTTTGAGTAGCACAGCTGAAAAGTTTTAATCATCTGTCAACAGATGTTTACACTTGTGTACAGTTTAACTTACAGTTGCAGTTGTTTACTTTCATTTCACTTATCTTTCAATGTATATTTTTAAACTGGTGATATGACGGTCCTAAGTGTGGGACCTTTTCAACTCCGAACGTTAGACTAGTGTGGTGTAAACAAACTCAATAGGAGCTTTCAAAAGAATGTTGGATAAATATTTGAAGGATAAGGGTCAGGAATGAGCAGATGGCGGGGGGGGACTAGTTGGATTGCACTTTGAATTAGTCAATGTAGGACGAAGTGGCAGAATCCTGAAGTGGTCACAGGGTCTTTGTACAAAGTGAGTGCTACATTGTACCAACTTTCTGACTGCAGGTTTGAAATGTATACCTTGTTTTTAAAAGAAATGATTTATCCATGGTTAGTGTATCATTTCGGATGTATGTGCTGCAACTTCACAACTTGCTGCATTGATCACAATTAAAATAAGGAGCTACAATCGATTCCAATATGTAACGGCTCATGTCAGCCACGGTTTGCTAATTCTGGATAATTGATAAAGTGTGCTAACTTTTAACTTTAATATTTACATGATGAAGCAATTGTACTGTCTACAATCCTATAAAAATGGGAGGAAAGCAGATTTATGTGAAAGTGACAGATTATTCTTACAAAATCTTTCTTCTAATGCATTCCTTTATGTCATTTATTAATATTTTGTGTTTCGGGAGAAAAAGTGGAATCAAAATATTTTAGTACAATATGTAACAATTGAAACAGTTCTCATTTAAGTTTGTTCCTTTCTTTTAATAGCTTTACTTTGTAATCGTTTTTTTTTGATTAGCAGCTGGATATGTAGAATCGGCACCAATCGGTTTCTCGAATTTTGTGTTTTAGTTTTTGTACAAAGATGAGAATTCCTTTCTAGGGAGGAGTGGTGGACTATTCCTCAGCAATCAGTTACAGCTATTGTTTCACAAGCATTGCATCAAATGCTTCATTTGACATGTTTTTTCCTTTTTCTGTGCTTCCCTAGCATCATTTGCGATGGTTAGTTTCTAGTTTTGGACAGTGTTATAAAGGTATCGGGGAAGCAAATGTGGTGACTCCCTTTTACAGACAATTTCAGGGATGTAGAGTCATATAGTCATGGAGCTGTACAGCACGGAAACAGATCCTTTGGTCCAACGCATCCATGCTGACCAGATATCCTAAATTAATCTAGTCCCATTTGGCCCATATCCCTCTAACCCCTTCCTATTCATATACCCATCCAAATGCCTCTTAAAGGTTGTGATTGTTCCAGCCTCCACCACTTCCTCTGGCAGCTCATTCCATACACGCACCACACTCTGCGTGAAAGAGTTGCCCCTTAGGTTCCTTTTAACTTTTTCCCCTCTCCCCTTAAACTTATGCCCTCTAGCATAGTTTTGGAATCCCTCACCCTGGGGAAAAGACCTTGTCTATTCACTCTATCCATGCCCCTCATGATTTTAAGTCTCTGTAAGGTCACCCCTCAGCCTCTGATGCTCCAGGGAAAACAGCCCCAGCCTATTCAACCTCTCCCTATGGCTCAAACCCTCCAACCCTGGCAACATCCTTGTAAATCTTTCTTTTCTGAGCCCTTTCAAGTTTCACTACATCCTTCCTATAGCTGAGAGACTAGAATTGCACACAATATTCCAAAAGTGGCCGAACCAACATCTGTACAGTCACAACATGACGTCCGCACTCCTAAACTCAATGCATTGACCAATAAAGGCAAGCGTATCAAACTCCTCCTTTATCCTGTCTACCTGCAGCTCCAGTTTCAATTGGACAAGTGGTCCCCGCCCCTTGAACAAGTTTGTCAGGAATGCATGGTCTGCACATCATAATCTTTG